TACTGCCCTAGAGATGGCCTAAAGACTATGAGTGAGGTCCGTGGTCTTATTTTACCAAATGATTCACTTTTACTTTCCAGACTTCTACGCACTTACGAAGTAAAGAGAACGTTCTGTAAAGCTGCAGCGGAAAGCAGCAATTCTTTCTCTCAAAAGACTGGTACTGAGGGAGCCTTGGTACAAACAAAATCAAACAACAAAACTTGTTCCTGTATATAAAACAATACTTTTTCTGTCACTTATAATTACAATCATGTTATCTTGCTCCTCGGTATCGAAACTAGTGATACTACTACAGTACACACTTTCTGGTATTATTTGTAACTTTTGAAACTTTCTAAAAGTTCAAGAAAAAAATTGAAGCCGTTCGAGAAAATATATTTTTAGTACCTTCCCAAACTACGCGCGAGCTGCGTTTTTCAATAATATGAATATGACCTAATATGAACGGCTCAATGCAGAAAGAGTAGATCTTACATTTTCACAATTTTACAGGAGATAAAAAACGATTTGCAAGAAGACTTTATTATTATTATTATTATTATTATTATTATTATTATTATTATTATTATTATTTTGCAGATACATTTGCATCTGAACGCAATATACCTTTTACCGCAATATACAATAAACCTTTTTGCACAATGGAAGATAACGCTAAAAGAAAGGCATACCAAACAAAATTCAAATAGCCGAAATGTGAAAACGTACATTTTCTGCATTAGGTTCTTTTAAAGATTTTTTTAGAACATTATATGAAAGAAAAATTGCTATTATACAAATGTACTTTTGTCTCTCTGAATTTTTCGAAATTGCAAAAGTTCACTAGTTTATCTTTGTTTCTACATCTACAAAATCGAGAACAGAGTTTTCTTAAAGTAATCAGTTCTTCAAAGATATATCATTAAAGAAGGTCATGTTGGGTCCTGTGTACTATTAAGAAAATATGTGTCGTTTTCGCGTAATTTTTGCTCAAATTGGGAAATTAAAAAAAAGTTTCTCATAAATGGCTCAACATTTTCCTTATTTTTCCTTCAAAAAAGCAAAGAACTCATAAAAATGGTGAAGTTTCATTTTGGTTGAATTTTTGAAACTTGCAAAAGTTACAAACAATGCAAGAAAATATGTGGTACTGTAGCATCACTTGTAGAGCTGTGGTGTACCAGTTTTTGATATTTATTTGCATTTAATTGTAAACAAATGAAATAATCATGTCTTCTGTGGAAGCGCCAAGATTTTAAAATTAGTCAAAGTCCGTAATTAATGTAGAATGCAAATGAAAACTCTATTTCTGGAATATCATTGGGAATCGAATTTGCTTGAGAAGTAGCTTTCTAGGAGACTGATGTATAAAACATTAAATTCCAATAAACGACTGAAGTTTTATGTTTATTTATTGTATACGTCATCTTGCGGAATACTTGAAACTTTTCGGTAGCTGTGAATACGGTGCAGAGAGAGGAGAGAAATTCATCGAACGAAGAGTTGCGTTATGATTGGCATGAATAATTTTCTCAAAGCTTTTGAAATCTCTTGTGTTGAATTAAAACTTTTTGTTCGGGAAGTACACGGTCTACGGAGTTCGGAGTGGTAAATGTGGTTGCAAACCTCCTTTCAATCTCATGGGGCCCGCGCCATGAGAGAATGGCAGTTCTTCACTAAAAACCGAAGGCACATTCTTTCCGCTGCATTACTCCACGCACTGAGGTTTTCAACCCATTCGCTCTCGCTCCCCCTGCCGCGCACACGGGCATATGTATGAACTAAAAAAAAAGACGAGAGCTGTCAGTTCTGTTCTTGACCTTTTTCTCAACAGTTTCATCGAATAGTAGTATCAGTAGGGGATACGGAGCAGGTTCGCTTGAAGTGGTAGTTTTTAATTTTTTTCACGAATCTCTGTTTTAGCTTTGACAAACTTGATTAGTTTAATGAAATCTACATTTATGGTACTTACATATATTGTGATAATTTTATTCGTGAATGGTTGACTGTCGAACTTTTAGAGTTATTTAGTCATTAAGTCAAGATGTGCCAACCAATCCCGCTTGTGATGTTGATTGGCACATACCTAGTGGGGTAGGTTGGCACTCCGTGAGAGTGTAGAATAGTACATCATTGTCAAAATGCATTAATTTCCAATGTTCTAATTAAGAAATAAATACAAACTAGTTAAGAAGTTTCTGGTCTTGTAGAACAGTCTCATATTAACATTTACATCAGTATTTGTAGTTTCAAAATTAAGATGGTCTTTAATTTGATTTCATCTATCATTTCCGTTCCTTAAAAAAATGATCATATTTTTGGAACACTTTTTAATTAACCCTATTTAATTGTTTCATATTCTCGCTAAAGGAAACTTACGTTGGCGGTAGACGAGCAAGGCAAAGTTTCAAGCCACTGCATAACCCACTTCAAGCACACAATTTTTTAAAAAACCTGTTGAATGCTTCCCAATGCCTTGAAACGTGCAAAATCGTGGAGCTTATGCATTCTACTTCTCAAGAATCAAGCGCATACTATTTATTTTCTATATTTTATATTTAAAATATGCTGAAAACATTATTAAGAGCGACAAAACAATAACCAAGAACTGTATTGTTCTGAGGCACGTTAAGGGGTAGAAGATCGATTGGCCATTATTGAGTCAAATATCTGACCACAGCAAAAATTTTGCAATTAAATAGCCATTACTGGAATAAAATAGAAGTTTGGAAATAATTTCATAAAAATATAACGAATTAAAAATTGGCCAATTTCAAGCAAGTGATTTATTCAGAAAGAGGATTGTTACTTTTCATTGAGTTGCACTTAATGAATTTAGTTGTGTAGCTCAATAATTTTCAGGTAATTACGAATATGTCCTTAACTGTGACAAACACTAACGTTTTTACCTTGAGTGTGAATATAAATATCAGATTAATTCTATTATTTTGTGGAGATAGTTTGCAAACAGATGAGGCTGTGCCAACCAACATCAATTGAAAATTGCTAACCCGGTCCGAACGGGATTTTTGGTTAAAGATTGTCGTAGATGTGATAAGGGAACTGAAAACAAACAAAAAATTGTATCCGAAAATCAGCTGAGAGAGAGGAGAGAGAGGAGAGAGAGAGAGGAGAGAGAGAGGAGAGAGAGGAAAGAGAGAGAGGAAAGAGAGAGAGGAAAGAGAGAGAGGAGAGAGAAAGAGGAGAGAGAGAGGAGAGAGAG